TAGCGAGATGCGATTTCCCACGCACAAAGTCATGTTGACTATCACGAATCAGTCCTTTCCAAATAGATGGAAATCCTGTCCCTCAGGATTCCCCCCAACAATGTGCCCACCACCGATGTCAGGATCACTGGTCTATAGTTCCCTGCCCTTTCCTTACCACCTTTCTTAAATAGTGGCACCACATTAGCTGGCCTCCAGTCTTCCGGCACCTCACCTGTGGCTAAAGCCTATCGAATTCTCTTAGTCTTTTTGAGAAGGAAATCTTCCATGCATCCATGGTCTGGCCTACATGTGACTCCATACTCACAGCAAGGTTGTTGACTCCTATCTGTTGTCTGAAATGATTGACCAAACACTCCATTGTATCAAACTGCTGCAGAAAAGTCTGAGCCAGACAGAGCACACAGGCTCCAGACAGTGGCCTACCACGTTCGCAAAAGCCAAAAGAAATCAGCGATAAACGTTGGTCTTGCCTGTGATACATACATCACCTGAAAAAAATTAAAAGTTTGGTTAACATCCCCATGTTGGGGTCAGCAGAGAGAAGTGAGTGGCTGGTGAATGTTTCATGTTTTCGTGAAGACTGAACTGAATGAGAGAGCAGCTCTGAGTTCACATGGTGCTCCATGTGGAAATGCCAGGAAACATTGTGTTCCCTGGATCACCCCATGTACAGGGAACACCATCGACTGTAGGAACTGCACCTCTGGATTTGGCAGCTTGAGCAACATCCGCCAACCCTGCACTGAGAATGAGGGCTCCACAGGGAGGATTTATAAAGATGTGGTCACCCCATAACTTACAACAAAGTGTTTAATCGATCATTCCAGGGAGCAGACAGGAACAACTACCTTGCTGTGAGTCTGCAGTCCTGTGTGGGTCAGATCGTACATGGTTGGAAGATTTCCTTCTGAAAAGGACCAAAGTGAATTCAATAGGCTATGATCAAAACGGGTGGTGTTTTGTGGCCAGCATCGCTGAGATTTTTTTTAATGTCCGATTTATTGATTAGTCAAATTTAAATTGCACCAACTGGCATGTTGGGATTTGAGTAAAAGTCTTGAGCCTCTTATAGACCAAAGGGCTGCTCTGTCACGCAAGAGGGAGAGAGAGAGAGAGAGGAGGTGGACTGGAGGTGAGCTTAATGTGATGGGGGACACGTCAAGAAGAGGGAAGATGTTGAGAAGGAGGCTCCTTCATGGGAACCTCAGCTGGTGCAGAAATTGAACCCAAGCTGTTGGCATCACTCTGCATTGCAAACCACAGCCCAGCGAACTGTCTGCAGAGAGAGAGGAAATCAAGAACAAATAGGCAGACAGAGACAACCTTCCAGAGCGTTTCTCACTGTCCAGCTTGTGTTTAGTTCTGAATACTTGAGAGAGCAGTGGTTAAATGGGGAGTGCAGGCAGAACGAAGAACATGGTACAAGAGCTAACTCAGTTGTACAGGGGTGCACAAAGAAGGCTGGAACCAAAACAGAAATTGCTGGAGAAACTCAGTAGATCCGGCAGCACCTGTGGAGCGGGAAACAGAGTTAATGCTTCTGGGCTCAAAACATCAACTCTACTTTCTCCCCACAGACCTACTGCCATTTCTCCCGCAATTACTGTTTCAGATTTCCTGCATCCACAGTTCTTTGTCTTAAAAACAAAGAGTGGGTTTTGCAAGCCTGGGTTGGTTGAATTGTGATCTGTATGCTGTCCACTACAACAAACTGAAGGAACATATCAAACATAAAACATATGCAGTTAACCTGTTGCATGATTGGACAGCACTTGCTGAAGAATCTTGAGTGCGCTAATAACTGCAAGAACAATTTGGGATCATCAATCAAGCTTCTAATGTTAAACTAGCAAGAAGCGACATATGCAATGTCCCATTCCCTGTGGACTATGGCTATATGTTGAATGCTTGTTCCTTTTTGGAATTACCCACAAACTTGGGGAGTCTTTGATTCTCTGTTGCTTGCTTCATGATGACCCCTGTGCTAATCTGAGTCCACTTGTTGAATCAGCTTCCTTTCCTCCTGTTGTATAAATTGTTGTGATCATTTCAAATTTGGCATTCTTGTATCTGTCCTGATGAGTGACAGATGAAAACTTTTGGCAGTGTACCTCTCTTCTTGGAGATCTGAAATATGACTGACTATAGATTCTCCAGGCACTGAAGACCAATCTTTTGTGTTTCCATTTTCTGTGAACAATCAGTTTATTCCACAGAATCATGTTGAAGAATTGGTAAAAAGGCTGTTTGACCTGACTGGGGTGAATGGATACAGATACCATGTCCAGGAATACAGCCAGCTCTCTTTTCAAGATAGAAAAGATCGATCTTTTCTAGAAAGGCTGGGCTAGTGGAGGGTTTAGAAAAGTTACAAGAATTCAATTGGGTAAAGACAGAGTAACCATTTCAACCAGTGGGGTTTTAAAAGGGATGGGGGCATGAAAATTGAAGCCAAGTTATTCAGAGGTTATATTAGATTTTTTTTTGCACAATGGGCACCAGAAATCAACAACATCAAAATGTCGTGGGTCACTGAAGAGGTTCCAAACCTGAGACTGACAGACATTTTGTTGGTTACCTGTATTGGGATATTGTGTTCAAACAGGTACACACCAGCTGTCATCAACGTGCATAGTGGGACTGGCTTGAATGGTCTCCTCATATGTCCTGTGTCGGGGGCTAAGTGTGTCACTCTCCAGGGTGGGCTAGCCTTCTGTCGCCCGATGGAACAGAGGGTGGTGTATGGAATGAGCTGCCAGAGGAAGTGGTGGAGGCTGGTACAATGACAACATTTAAAAGGCATCTGGATGGGTACATGAATAGGAAGGGTTTAGAGGGATATGGGCCAAATGCTGGCAAATGGGACTAAATTAATTTAGGATATGTGGTCGGCGTGAATGAGTTAGACTGAAGTTTCTGTGCTGTACAGCTCTACGGTTCTATCTGGGCTCATAAATGGCATCTCCCTGTTCTGCTAATTATCCGTTCTGTCTGACCATTCATTTCAATCAATGGGGGAGCTCCAAATGGTGAAGATGAGCTAACTGTGACTTGTTGCTGACTAAGAGTGGGAAATCTTAAGTAAGATAAATGACTGAGTCTCTCAATTGCCCCACTCTATTGAGTTTGGGACAAATCTCTTCAGTTGCACTCCATCTTGTCTTCCCTCAGACTGCTTCCCTACACTCTGTGTGATACTGTCCTGATTTGCAAAATTAAAGAAGGCGACTACAGTTGTAACTGGGATGAAAGTCACTTGTGGAATGTGATGTCATGTTTCTCCCACTCCACTCCCAGTCTAATTCCTGTTCCATGTCCATTCAACTATCCCCTTGGTGTGTAGGGGAAAGTGAGCCGCTCCCAATCCAGACTGGAACACTTGCCTGTGGACAGGATTGGATTGAGTTTGCTGTCCTGATGCTTAAACATCCTTCGATGGGCAAGCTGCTCGTTTATTCATTTCCATGTCATCATGGAAGGTTGTTCAGAGCATCCTTAGTGTGTGTACAGAGACAAATGGCTGGAGATTCCGCTGCTCCTTTTGATAGGTTTTATTACAGCTCCCCTCAATCAGTTTCACCCACTGAGGAAGCTGCTGGTACACATTCACCTTGGAAAAGGAACCTTCCGGCCCATTTTCTTCCCTGGCAGGTGTTTCATTCTTACACATCCTGGTTCTGTTTCTGCATTTGTCTTCCCCCAGCACCAGGCCCTTCCCCCCAGGAGACAGGTTTTGGAGCCTGTTCACGGCACTGGTTCCTCACCTTCCAACTCTCAAAGTATCCTCAAGACACGGCATGCTATTAGATTGTGTTCTAGCTTACTGTGGCGTTGTGCCATTCAAGAAACAAAGAACTTGTGTTCTGTTGCGACCCTCATGACCTCAGGAGGTATCTCACAGCTTGAGAAGTGAGGAGCTCCCAGACAGGGCATTGAGACTGATGGCTACTTTTTGACAACATTGCCTGAGAGATAAATCATTTCCCAGGACCCAGGGAAGAAGTCTCTGGCTCCTCTTCGAAATAGTGTCATAAAATTAGAGAGCCACACAGCATGGAAACAAACCTTTTGCTCCAACCAGTCCATGCCGACCCCGATCTAAACTCGCCCCACCTGCCTGCGCCTTGGCCCATGTCCCTCCAAACATTTCTTATTCACATACTTATCCAAATGTCTTTTAAACGTTGTACTGTACCCACATCCACCACTTCCTCAGGAAGTTCATTCCACACACAAATCACTCTCTGTGTAAAAAAAAATTGCCCCCCATGTTTTTTTTAAATCTTTCTCCTCTCACCTTAAAAATGTGCCCCCTTGTCTTGAAATCCCCCATCCTAGGGAAAAGACACCTGCCATTCAACTTATTTGCACCCTGCATGATTTTATAAACCTCGATAAGGTCAGCCCTCAACCGGTTACACTCCTACATCCCGGCCTTTCCATGCTGTCGCTGTAGTGTTAATGTCCAGCCTGAGGGAAGATTCCTTAATGTCTCCTTTGAGAGACACCGCCTCCTACAGTTCTTAACCAGGAACATCAATCCAAGATGAATGTGGTATCTGGAATGGGACTGAACTTTCTAACTCAGAGGCAACAGTACACCACATGCTTGATTCGCATGTCTACAGCTGGATATTCTTCGGAATGCTGCCATTCGCAAACAGCTCCCGAACGATTGTAATGTGCTGCGGGGATTGTCCTGAGGACATACAAAGAACGACACAACTCCAAGTGCTTTCTTTATTTGTCTGATCAGCTTCCGAACTCATTCGCCATCGATGAGCTGGAACACACAAGTCCTTGACATTTCCACCCTAGCACACATGGAATAGCCTTTTGTTCTCAGGAGCTCGTCTCTTTCGTTTTATTCAATCATTTTTTTGTCACTTTTTTCTTTATCTTGAAAAACCTGCGTGCGTTCCACCGTCTACCCATTAAAAACCAAGTGTAAAAAAATAAAACATCTCATTTAAAAAATATTGACAGTCACTCCTGGTCTAGGTCCGGTGCCTTCTGGGCAAGCGGGTTCGCTGGGTCCTTTTGGTGTTGGGGTAATTTATAAACTCAAAGTGCCTTTGCCTGTCCCAGTTTGGAAAGAGTGGCTCTCCTTTGAAGAGTCTTTTCATGAAGTGGACTTCTCTCTGATTCTGCCTGGTCTTTGTGGCCTTCCTGGGCTGCCCTTTCCTGGTGAAGGCCATGTACCACCCGCTGTATTTGGTGTTCCTCAGCGCTGTGTAGTTATTCTCCAGCAGTATTTCTGTGAAGATGCAGTCCTTCCCCTTTCCAACCAGCTGGAGCAAAGACAAAAGAATAAACACTACAGTTTAAAATGTAAGGTCACGTTTCCCCCTTCAATGGAAGCGAGCAGAATTTTTACTCCCTGCCCTGAGCTCCACCCCTAGGGAGCACATTCTGCTGCCTCCCACCGCCAACTTTTTAAAGTGCAGCCATTCATTTTGCTGGAGAAACCGCGAGACTATCTGCGGCGCAGCGAGATCCCAAAGTCAGGGGAGAAAAAGACAAATCCTGTCTTTTGCATTGATATAGCACCGTTAGGAGGCTCCCTAGGCAGTACACAGGTCTGATGTTTGGACCTGAGACACGCGAGAAGATACTGGAACAGGCTATTCGAACCTGGGTCAAATTGGAGCGACTTACAAGAGGAGATCGAGGTGGAGAGAGACTGAGAGAGGAAATTCCAGAACTGAAGGAACTGACATTGGGAAGCATGACAGCCAATGGTGGAGTATTATGAAGTGAGCACGGTGAGAGGTCGGAATTGCAGGATTGCAGAGCTATTGGTCTGTTACATAGCTGAGGTGGGTCTTAGACATCAGGAGAAAGAGGATACGGGGTTAGAAGCTCAACTGAGAAATAACTGATGAGAAATTGATTCAAGTTCAGGTGGTGGCTGCAAAGTAGGTGGAAACATCCCAAAGACTAGAGAGCAGAGTTGGTGGTGAGGACAGAAGACAAACACTAGCTTCATTGGAATCAGTGATCAACGTCTGGGACTGTAACCTTCAGCAATGGGAAGGCTCCACCTACATCCCTGGAAATGTTCAACCAGAAATTCAAACCACTACATGCAAAGTTTGTAGCTCCCCTCACACATTCCTCTCCATAGCAAGGTGTAGCACAGTAAAAATGGCACTCAGCATCCTGGCCATTGCCTGGAGAACGTCTCCACTCATGTTCTATTTGCTAATGCGACATTGTGATGTGATTCCCTGTTGTCACCCATTTCCTTTTGAGCTCCTGGTTTCTGGAGAGTAACCCCTTCTGGTTTTGATGGGAAGCCTCTCCAAAGCACTGTGAAGCTCTTGCTAAGTCGGAAAAAGTACACAGAATCATAGAATGCCTACAGTGTGGAAACAGGCCCTTCAGGCCGACAAGTCAACACCGACCCTCTGAGCATCCCACCCAGCCCCTATCCCCCTGCCCTTTCCCTGTAACCCACCTGACCTACACATCCCTGAACACTACGGGACAATTAAACATGGCCAATCCACTCTAACCTGCCCATCTTTGGACTGTAGGAGGAAACTGGAGCACCCGGAGGAAACCCACGCAGACACAGGGAGAATGTGCAAACTCCGCACAGACAGTTGCCTGAGACTGGAATCGAACCCAGGTCCTTGGCGCTGTGAGGCAGCAGTGTTAATGTTGCTGATCTTATCTTTAATAGTGGGGTGCCTGGTCAGCCAAATAAAGATGGTCATTTCAGGTGGATAATTGGAAATGATCACATGGCCACCATCTCGACGGCAGATTCTCTCATCGCTACCATATCGCTGCTTATGGGAGTCTGCTGGATGTGAACTGGTTCCTGCATTTCTCACATTATAACGTCGGCACGATTTCAAAAGTATTTTGTCGGTTGTAAAATGATGTGGGATGTCATGGAGTCATGAGAGGTGCTTTGGAAATGCAAGTCTTTTAGGGGCTGCCAATATGATTACTCAAATGATGATATGGAATAGATTCTACAACTTAGAATGAAGCCATTCAGCCTATTCTGCTTGTTCTGGCTCTTTGAAGGAGTTTTCTAACCAGATTCTACTCATAGCCCTGTCATTCTTTAAGTACTTATCCAATTTGGCTTTGGAGATCACATCAATACAGTGATGAAGGTTTCCAATCCAAAACGTCAACTTTCCTGCTCCTCTGATGCTGCCTGACCTGCTGTGTTCCTCCCACTCCACACTGTATTGACTCTGACTCCAACAGCTGCAGTTCTTGCTATCTCCTTGGTTCTGGCGATTACAACCGAGTCTCTTTCCACCACCTTTCAGCAGTGCATTCCAGATCAAACCACATGTCTGCCTTTCCTCACTCCTGAAATCAAAATCTGCGTCAAAAGGCTGAAAGTGTACGAGGAAGGTGAGAGGAGAGAGATTTAAAAAAGACATGAGGGACAAATCTTTTACACAGAGGGTGGTTCATGTGTGGAATGGACTTCCTGAGAAAGTGGTGGATGCAGGTACAATTACAACGTTTAAAGGACATTGGGATGGATATATGAATGGGAAAGGTTTGGAGGGATATAGGCCAGGAGCAGGCTGGTTGTCTGGTTTGGGATTATGTTCAGCACGGACTGGTTGGACCGACGGGTCTGTTTCTGTGCCGTATGACTCTACGATTTTGCAGAACTTATAGGCATGTCAGACCAGAAAGGGTAAGGTTTTGCATGATGGTGCAGAATTGTTACAATTGGGAGAAATGAGCGGGAATGGCTCAGAATTTATTCTAAGCGTTAATGTGTTTCACTTTGATGTTAGGGTTAATTCCAAGGGTGTTTGACTCAGTTTCCTCAAACCTCATGGGTGTGACACCGTATATAACCCCCCTTCCTCCCCCTATTACAGACGCCTATCTTTGCCTGGCCACTTACTTTTCCCACAAGCTTTCCCCTTCGGTTCATGCAAATGTAGTGTCCGGTCTCTGCTCCCCGAATCCTCACTCGGCTGTCGAATGTGTCCGTCTCCACCAGCAATTTCGCTGAAAGAAAAGGGATCGTCCGTTAAAATCATGGTCTTCCTCAAAGAGCGGGTGGACCCACATCTGCTGCGGAATGGAGCGTAATCGGGGGTCTCGTTGGTAAGCGGGAGTTCCATCTTAATTTGGGAGTGGTCTCGCGAGTGTCACTAGCAACACCATCATCTATTATCCATCCTTAACTGCCCCTAAATCGCGTGCCTTGCCAGGCCACTTCAGAATCAACCATGTTACTATCGATTTGTATCAAATGTAGGCCAGACCGAGTAAGGAAGGCAGGTTTCCTCCCCTGAAGGGCATGAGTGAAACAGATGGGTTTTCACATCAATCAATGACAATTTCACAGTCACTGTTTCATTTCCAGATGAATTGAGTTTAAATTCCACCATCTGCTGTGCTGGGACTCGAACCTGTCTCCTCAGAACACGAGCAGAGGTCTCGGAATGATTGCCGCAGTTTTTTTTGACGTTTTTGCTGAGCCGTCACCTTCACCGAATACAATCCTGTCGGTCACGGGAATAAGTTGGGTCTTTCCCCAATCTCTTTCAGTTTCGCAGAACGTTCACACGCAAAGTTTCCCGACTTCCCCATAAAGAGGGAGTCCCATTCTGCAGGGAATTGGGAACCTTCCCATCATTCCAAATTAAAACCGTGTCATTCTGTAAATAAACACCCAAACGGGGGGCTGAAACTGGCACCCAGCTCACGTCTGGGTATCTGTTCCAGGCAAAATATTGCAGACGAGGCTGGAGACACTCAGCACCCGTGCAGGAAGAGACTGAGCTAATGTTCTGAAGGAGAGTCACATCAGTCTCAAAATGTTCTCTTTCTCTCTCTCTGTCTCTCTCTCTCCCCTTGTGCTGCCAGACCTGTTGAGTTTCACCTGCATTCCCTGTCTTTGGCCCAGTTATCTGTTATAAAAACCGTTCAAATCCCTCAATTCGATTCCAGCCTATATCTGTTGTTCTCCGTACAAATCCCTCGATTCAGCACCAGTGTGTAATTTACTTCTGGCGAACTGTTATTCAATAAATAAATTCCCTGAATCCCTCAATTAGGTCTAAAATTTGGACTCGCTCCCAGTTATCTATTATTCGACACAAACTCCCCCAGCTGACTGAGTAGCTTCCAACCTGTATCTCACTTCTGGATATCTATTATCGTGTACATAAACCGCTCCGAACCCTTCGATCAGATTCCAGTTGTTAACTCATTCCTGGGTATCTGTTTATCGATACATAAGAACCTCCCCTGAACCCTTCGGTAACTCACTCCGAGCTGTCTGTTATTCTGTGTGGACCCTTGCCAAATCCTTGGTTAGATTCCATCCCTGCGTACCTCTTTTTCCATGTTTAGACAGTCGAAATGTTGGGGCTGAGAGCAGAAACTGGGTCTGGGCTGGAGGTTTTGTCAAGGTCTAATTATCAAGAAACAAAGAACAGAGGATGCTGGGAAATCTGAAACAAAAACTCAGGAAAGGTCACTGGGCCCGAAACGGTAACTCTAATTTCTCCTCACAGATGTTGCCAGATCTGCTGAGTTTCTCCAGGGCTTTTCTGCATGTGCCTAACAGTGACCGGGTATAGAGAACATAGAACATACAGCACAGGAACTGGCCCTTCGGCCCACCATGTTGTGTCAAACATGACTCCAAATTAAACTAATCCCTTCTGCCCCCTCTTCGTCCATATCCCTCCATTCCTTGCATATTCATGTGTTTATCTACAAGTCCCTTAAATGCCCCTATTGTATCTGCCTCCACCACCACCCCTGGCAGTGCTTTCCAGACTCCTACCACTCTGTGTAAAGAAAACTTGCCCCTCACGTCTCCTTTAAACTTTCTCCCTCTCACCTTAAATGCATGCTGTCCAGTATTAGACATTTCAATTCTGGGAAAAAGATTCTGACTGTCAATGCGATCTGTGCATCTCATCATTTTAGAGACTTCTATCAAGTCTCCCCTCAGCCTGCCCTGCTCCAGAGAAAACAACCCGAGTTTTTATAGCCTCTTCTAATAGCTCATACCCTCTAATCCAGGCAGTATCCTGGTAAACCTCTTCTGCACCCTCTCCAAAGCCTCCACATCCTTCTGATAATGTGGCGACCAGAATTGAACACAATGCTCCAATTGTGGCCTAACCAAAATCTTATAAAGCTGCAACATGACATCCTGACTCTTGTACTGACTTCCCCGACCAATAAAAGGAAGCATGCCACACGCCTTCTTTACCACCCCATCTACTGGTGGGGCCACTTTCAGGGAGCTATAGACTTGAACCCCAAGATCCTGCTGAACATCAGTGTTGTTCAGAGTCCTGCCATTAACCATGTACTTTTCCTTAACACAAAGTGCAGCACCTCACACTTCCCCAGATTAAACTCCATCTGCTATTTCTCCACCTGTATCTGCAACTGACCTATATCCCACTGAATCCTTTGACAAGCTTCTACACTATCCACAACTCCGCCAATTTTATCATCTGCAAACTTACTAACCCTCCCATCTACATGTTCATCCAAGTCATTTATATATATCACAAACAGGAGAGGTCCTAGTACAGATCCCTGCGGAATACCACTAGTTACAGACCTCCAGCCTGTAAAACACCCTTCCACAACTACCCTCTGCCTCTGTGCACAAGCCAATTCTCAATCTACACGGCCAAGTCACTGTGGATCCCATGCATCTTAATCTTCTGGATAAGCCTACCATGAGGGACTTTGTCGAGACCCTTAGTAAAATCCATGTAAATAACATCGACTGTTCTACCCTCGTCGATCACCTTCGTCACCTCCTCGAAAAATTCAATCAAGTTAGTAAGACATGACCTGCCCTGCACAAAGCCACGCTGACTGTCCCTAATTAGGCCGTGCTTTTCCAAATGCACGTAAATCCTATCCCCGATCAGTCTCTCCAACAGCTTCCCAAACACGGATGTAAGACTTACCGGTCTGTAGTTTCCTGTGTTATCTGTATTTCCCTTTTTGAACAGAGGAACATTAGCTACTCGCCAGCCCTCTGGGACCTCTCCAGTGGCGAGCGAGGACACAAAGATTTTGGTCAAGGCGCCAGCAATCTCTTCCTACCTCTCTGAATAACCTGAAGTAGATACCTTCGGGCCCTGGGGACTTATCCACCCTAATGTTCTTCAGGAGATCCAACACCACTTCTTCCTTGATCTCAAAATGCCGCAGCATATTAGCATACTCCACACAAATTTCACCATCCTCCATATACTTCTCCTGGGTGAATACTGATGCCTTGAGTGGTTCTACCTTCTCTCTTGTCATCCTAGTATCTATAGAATCTTGGAATTCTCTGTAACCCTGCTTTACAAGGTCATTTCATGGCCCTTTCTTGCTCTCCTAATTCCCTGCTTGAGTTCTTCCCTCCTTTCTTTATGTTCCTGACGGGGCGTGTCCGATTTTAGCTTCCTCGACCTTTCATATGCTGCTTTTTCCCTTTTGACTAAATTCACAACCTCCCTCGCTATCCACGGATCCCTTTACCTTGCCATCCTTGTCCTTCCTTCTAACTGGAACATGCCAGCCCTGAACTCTCATCAGCAGGTCTTTAAACAGTGCCCAATATTGACACAATTTGCCCTCTGCCAATTTAGTACCTTGCCACAAAAGGTCCTGACTTATCCTCGTTCAGGGCTATCTTAAAACTTAAGGAGTTGTGATCACTGTTTGCAGTGGATTGAGGAAAATGCAGGGAGCGGTGAGACTACAGTGTTATTCCCACATGCAGAGCCTGTTTTAAAGCAATGAGGCTTCTTAATGAGTAAGCAAAGTCTATAAACAACTGAACTGGTTCCCTTCCCAGTGTAGTTGGTCCTGCAGTGCCTGGAGAAGGCGATGAGATACAAATTCGGTCACCTCCAGCGGTCACGTTCCACTGTGAGTGATCAGCCAGTTACCCAATCATCCCCATTCTGGGCAAGGCTAGTGGGATAACTGCACACAGCCAATAGTAACAGGGGGACAAGCCGTATTCCTTACCGTACTTACTCCCGTCTTCTGCTGTAGCGTTGATTCTCTTGCCGAGGATCTGGACATGCTTCCCACTGGTGCGGCTGTACAACTGGTAGACACGGATATGGCGTCGGCTCAGCTGGTCACTGTTTCGGGCGTGGTCCCTCACATGCTGATTAAAATTAGGAGACGATTCATTCTCCCCCTTTTGTTTACAAAGGGAGAAATAAAATCAATTTGCTTTTGCAATTGTGCCAGGGCCCAGTGATCTGGGCCGTGTGTTAGCGCTCACCCCTGGAGGTGACCTGAAGCACCCCCTTCCTCCTGAATCCCAGGATATCACAAATATTGGCATGTCTATCTACCCATCGTCCTGTCATTCCTCAGCCACCAGTCATACAGCACGGAAACAGACTCTTCGGCCCAACCAGTCTGTGCTGACCATCATCCCAAACTAAACTAAACCCACCTGCCTGCCTCTGGCCCATATCCCTCCAAAACTTTCCTATGCATGTACTTATCCAAATGTCTTTTAAATATTGTAACTGTATCCATATCCACCACTTCCTCAGGAATTTCATTCCACACACAAACCACCCTCTGTATAAAAACATTGCCCCTCATGTCTTTTTTAAATCGTTCCCCTCTCACCTCAAACATATGCCCCCTCGTCTCAACATCCACAACCCCAGTAAAAACACACCTGCCATTCATCTTATCTATGCCCCTCATGATCTTATAAAACTCTATAAGGTCACCCTTCAACCTCCTACGCTCTGAGGAAAAAAGCCCCAGCCTCTCCTTAGAACACAAACCCTCCAGTCCTGGTAAAATTCTCCCCACAATGTTTCTAACACAAAGAGGCAAAAGTGCCCAAATTAAAATAGAAAGTCACTTAGCGGGACTGAAGTTAAGTATTGATGAGAGAAATATTTCATCTCACATTCTTTTGGGATTCCTTGACCTGACCTGATGAGTGCAATTTGAAAAGCCAATCTCTTCCTTCAGAAATCATCGAACAGAAACACAGTTTTTAACGTGTCAACGACACCCTGGATTTTGCTCGTGGAGATCAGTGTTTAATTCCTGGAGAATCCAGCAACCCCAAGGATCCCAGGTGATGTTCTCACAACTTGTGGGCGAAACCAGGAAAAGGAACAGCGTTAAGCATGAGGACAACTTGCAGGAACACAGCCTGGTGTTCATCCCAAAGGCCACATACTAAGGTCACTGAGTTCAGACACGTGGCTGAAAGTCATGAAAGTTTCAATGAGGCGTTTAAAAGCTGAGAGAAGGAATGAACTTCTATTTATGTCATGTCTTTCTCATCCTTATAGAGTCTCAAAGTGTTTCACTCAGCCAAGCACTTGTGAAATGTCGTGGCTAATATCCTTCACTCTGTAGGAGACCGTGGGAAGGCAGCCTCATGTCAGTGAAATCTGACCTACCAGCCTTGTTAGGAAAGGTGAAAAATCCAATTCGGGAAAGGGCAAAGTCATACAGCACAGAGACAGACCCTTCAGCCCAACCAGTCTGTGATGACCGCGCTCCCAAACTAAACTAGTCCCGCCTGCCTGCTCCTGGCCCATATCGCTCCAAACTGGCCAGGGGTGTTGGTGGATCCATGCTGATACCTTCTTTGTAGGCTGGAGCCTGCTCCAGAGCTTTAGAAACCACGCACAGAGCTGTACAGCACAGAAACAGACCCTTTGGCCCAACTCGTCCATGCTGACCAATATCCTAAATTAATCTAGTCCCATTTGCCAGCATTTGGCCCATATCTCTCTGAATCCTTCCTTTTCATAAACATATCCAGGTGCCTTTTAAATGTTGTAATTGTACCAGCTTCCTCCACTTCCTCTGGCAGCTCATTCCACACACGCACCACCCTCTGTGTGAAAAAGTTGCCCCTCAGGTCCCTTTTAAATATTTCCCCTCTCACCTTAATATTTCCCCTATGCCCCTGTAGTTTTGGACTCCTCTACCCTGGGGGAAAAAAACCTTGCCTATTCACCCTATCCATGACCCTCATGATTTTATAAAGGTCTGTAAGGTCACCCCTCAGCCTCCGACACTCCAGGGAGAAAAGCCTCAGCCTCATCAGCCTCTCCCTTTAGATCAAACCCTCCAAGCCTGGCAACATCCTTGTAAATCTTTTCTGAACGCTTTCCAGTTTCACAACATCCTACCCATAGCTGGGAGACCAGAATTGAACATAATATTCCAAAAGTAACTTAACCACTGTCCTGTACAGCCACAACATGACTCCCAACTCCTATACTCAATGCACTGACCAATAAAGGCAAGCGTACCAAACACCTTCTTCACTATCCTGTCTCCCTGTGACTCCACTTTCAAGGAACTATGAACCTGCACTCCAAGGTCTGTTTGCTCAGCAACACTCCCCAGGACCTTACCATTAAGTGTATAAGTCCTGCCCTGGTTTACCTTTCCAAAATGCAGCACCTCACATTTGTCTAAATTAAACTCTATCTGCCACTCCTCGGCCCTTTGGCCCATCTGATCAAGATTCCATTGTGCTCTAAGGTAACCTTCTTCGCTGCCCACTACACCTCCAATTTTGGTGTCATCTGCAAACTTACTAACCATACCTCCTATGTTCACATCCAACTCATTTATATAAATGACGAAAAGCAGTGGACCCAGCACCAATCCTTGTGGCACACCGCTGGTCACAGGCCTCCAGTCTGAAAAGCAACCCTCCACCTCCACCCTCTGTCTCCTACCTTCAAGCCAATTTTGTATCCACTGGCTAGCTCCCTGAATTCCATGTGATCTAACCTTGCTAACCTTGGAACTGTGTTGAATGCCTTATTGAAGTCCATACAGACAACATTTACCGCTCTGCCCTCATCAATGCTCTTTGTCACCTCTTCAAAAAACTCAATCAAGTTAGTGAGACACGATTTCCCACGCACAAAACCATGTTGACTATCCCTAATCAGTCCTTGCCTTTCCAAATACCTGTAAATCCTGTCCCTCAGGATTCCCTCCAACAACTTACCCAGTAATCTCACCGGTCTATAGCTCCCTGGCTTTTCCTTATAGTCTTTCTTAAATAATCGCACCACGTTAGTCAACCTCCCGTCTCCTGGCACCTCAGCCACATGTTGGAGGGATGGCTAGTTCCTGCCCACAGCTGGGGACACTGTTTGAGTTGGGCGTCAGCTAGAGTTTCCCATTGGTCAAGGGTTTATGTTGAGGACTTTGACATCTCTTGACAGTATCCTGCATCATCAAAAGGACAGGAAGCTACTCTGGGGTAACTCTGGAAATTAAAGATAGCATTTGTATAATAGTCAGCTGAAAAGATTAAGATGTCCGATACGTTTGGGGAGAGATAGGAATTAGGAAAGGTCAGAGGTCACTTGTAAGATTAGCTTGCTGTTGACTGTCATTCAGAAGAGTGAGCATATGAGATCGAGGTGGGACTGGGGAGGGATAGCGACTAAAACTAACACACACCGTTTAAGAGGTCACCCATTTGAGTCAGAGGTGAGGTGCATTTTTCTCTCTCACAGAGGGTTCTTAAAGGGTGACATGCTGTTTGCCAGAAGGGAGTGGAGACTGGCCCTTTAAATGTATTCAAGATGAATTGTCGATTGATAAGAGACTCCAAGGCTATGGAGGCGGGGTGGGGTTGACAGGTAGATTGAACTGAGACCATAAGCAGATCAGTAATGGAATGGCACAGCAGACCTGAGGGGCCAAATGGCCTCCTCCTGCTGATAGAACATCGAACAGTACAGCACAAGAACAGGCCCTTCGGCCCACAATGTTGTACCAAACATAATGCCAAATTAAATTCATCCCTTCCGCCCACCCTTGGTCCATATCCCTCCATTCTTTGCATATTGTTGTGCTTGTCTAAAAGCCCTTTAAATGCCCCTATTGTATCTGCCCCCACCACCACCCCCCGGCAGTGTGTTCCACACTCCGACCACTCTCTCCGTAAAAAAAAAACTTGCCCCTCACATCTCCTTTGAACTTTCCCCCTCTCACTTATTTTTTTCCCCTTTATTCATTCATGGGATGAGGGGGTGCTGGCTAGGACCAGCATTTATTACCCATCCCTAATTGCCCAGAGGGCAGTTAAGAGTCAATCACATTGCTGTGGGTCTGGGGTCACATGTAGGCCAGACCAGGTAAGGATGGCAGTTTTCCTTCCCTAAAGGGCATTGGTGAACCAGATGGGTTTTTCCTGACAATCAACAATTCTTAGTTCCAGATATTTTTTATTGAATTCAAATTCCACCATCTGCTGCAGTGGGATTCAAACCTGGGTCCCCAGAACATTATCTGGGTCTCTGGATTAATAGTCCAGCGATAATACCACTAGGCCATTGCCTCCACCTTAAATGCATACTCCCCCTAGTATGAGACATGCTCCTACATCTATGTGACAAACCTTGAATCAGAGCTCCTCTTGATACAGGCTAACTGTCTATATCATGTATCCTTGGGATCTTGCCATTATTCCAACTTGAGCACGAGCCCAAACCAGGGAAGCTACTTGTGGAGGAAAATTATCAGCCATTTCTGAAACAGCAAGATCCCAAGACAGCACTGAGGTCAACATTGACCAACAGACCATTTTCCAACTTGTATTGTCTGCGTAATTTCTTTATAAGAAAGAATTTTCTTTGTTTGTTTTCATTTGTCCATGGGATAATTGTGTTTGGTAGACCAATATTTATTACCCATCCCTACATGAGAGTTAAAGTGAACTGTTTTGTGGCTCAGAGTCACAGACTTCCTTGGCTAAAGCCAGCAAATAATTCCAGACTTTATTTGCAATGAATTGAAATGTCACCAAATGCTGTGGTAGGATTTGAACCCACGTCCTCAGATCACGAGCCTGTGGTTCTGAAACAGAAACGGAAATTGCTGGAGAAACCCAACAGGGCTGGCAGTGAGAAAGCAGCGTTAATGTTTTGGATCCAGTGATCCTTCCTGAGAACCTGGGGGTCCAGTGTGTGAGTAGCACAGTGACATTACCACTACAACAGCATCTGCCCTCATATTCCCGAAACATAACTGAGACTTTACCTCAAAAAGATTTCAAGTGATTGAAAGCTCTTTGGGATTTTCGAAGGCCATGAAAAAGTGCTATATAAATGCAGGTTATCTCTCTGTCTATCTCTGTATCAATCATGTTTCAATCTATCTTTGAACATGCCACCAGGGCACTGTCAGCAGATTCAGTTTAAAACGAGCTGAGATCAGCCCAGGAGGGTCCCTCTGGAGGTCTTCCCCCCTGGTGGTCTGCAGGACAGTAACAGGAAGCTCTCCTTGTCATGCTATCCATTACCTTTGCTATTTTTATCACACAGGGCAAAAAAAAAACAGGTCCCTCCTCCAGTAGCATTTATTCCATCACCCTAACTGAACCAAGACTCCATCTCTGCTCCTGTCAACATAAATATTCCCAGATTCCATTCGGCACACTCACCGGGAGGCCTGAGGCTGAAGCGGGAGTGTCCCAGTCGCTGACACATGAGTTTCATACCCATGGCTACCATCTTTAACTCTCAGCCAGGCTCACAAAAGCCAACACAGTTCATTGCCGTTTTCGTTTTGTTTAAAGCTTCTTCTTCCTACATTGAACAGCCAAGGTGAACTGAAGTCGGAAAGGTTTTCTGGAATAAGTCATATTGGGGGAACAGAGGGATATCGGGATGTTTGTCCACAGATCCCTGAAAGTGGCAGGACAGGTTTAATAGTGTAGTTAAGGAGGAATACGGGACACTTGCCTTTATGGGACGTGGCACAGACTGGAAGAGCAGGGAGATGGTGTTAGAGTTGTACCAGCCACTCCAGCTGGAGTACTTCTGTCCAAGTGCTGGGAAGTGCAGGCAGTGGAGATAGGCTGGTGCACACTAAAATGGGCTGAAGGGCCTCTTCTGTGCTGTATGATTCGAAGACCCTTGAACAGTACTGAGCAGTAACCTGCTGGAACTGATGACCATATTGGCTTCTCAAAAGCTCTATTGGCCCAGTGGACGTTTCGGAGCAGCGTTACTCCAGTGTGGGAGACGTTGCAGCCCCTTCTGACCATGGCAACGTGAAATGTTGCTATTCCACGCTGCCAGGGAACTCTCTAGGACCTGCTTCGTTGGAGAAACGTGCCTCCATTTGTGATGACTTTGTTGAAGTTCACAGGCTGATGTCCCATAGCAGAGGATGCCCAGCACATGACCCCACGATGTGCGGTGGTGTTTGGGGGACCAGTCTCAGACAGCATGGCATCGTTGAGAAACCAGTCATAACATCAGAATCCTTTTTTATTCAGTCATTGAGTTCAAGTTCAGCATGGTTCAATAGAAAAGTGAACAGACATTTTGGTGCTGAGTTGGTCAGAACGGAGAGGTGTCTCTCAGTTTTACAGGCTGAGGTACCACACTGCCACCTCTGGTGGGAGGGTGTGATGACGACATGACATGTTTACATTGCATCTGCCATTGTCAATGGGGACAGAGGAATTCAGGAAGGAAAAATTTGCACTGAAGTGTCTTTCTAATCTTGACAACAGCAAGTTTATCGAGAGGGAAGGTGTCACTGTGGTCTCTGTACCTCCAGAGTCATTTGTTACACTCACACACTGAACTGTCAGGACACCTCCAGATCCTGTTTGTCTCCCTGTCGCATCTGTCACGTTTTCAACTTCTCCTTTCCCGGGGCATGAGCAATGCTCTCCAAACCAGCATTTATTGCCCGTCCCTAGCTGCCCACGAGGAAAGAATGTTGATCCACCTCTGCGAACTGCTGCAGTCCTGTGGTAGGGCACAGCCGCAGAACTGTCAGTGAGTCCCAGGATACCGACCCCGGCAAAAGGAAAAGAACAAACTTTTTCTGAAGAAGGCCTGAAACGTCAGCCTTCCTGCTCCTCTGATGCTGCTTGGCCTGCTGTGTTCATCCAGCTCTACACCTTGTTATCTCAGATTCTCCAGCATCGGCAGTTCCTACTATCTCAGAACAAACTTGTATTTATGTAACACTTTCACAACCATTACCAAAGCTCCTTCCAGCCACTAAAGTACTTCCTGAGGTGTACATGCTGTTGTAATGTAGGAGATTCAAGAGCCAATGCATGCACAGCAAGATCCCACTAAACAGCAATGCCATCTTGACTGGAGAATCTATAATCATGCTGTTAGCTGGGGATAAATATGAATCAGAGGACATTCAGAGAGCTCCCCTTCTTCTCTCCTTCCAGTGCCCCGGATCCTCAAGGTAACAGAGACCAGGAACACCTCCTCAGGACTGGCTGCTGCCAAAACATAGGACAGCAAACTCAGGGTGACATATGTTTTTCCAACTTGAGATTGCTGTTGCGGCTGGCCAGGCCCTATTCACTGCTTAGGCCCTTACAAACAGATTGTAATGGGTGTTCTTGTCCCTGTGGCAGAGATGAGCCCCAGTGGTGTTGGGTCAGGACTGGATATGGCTAACTGAGCACTTGGATTGGTGATGGGGATGGTGTTCCCATCACAGAGTTAAACCTGTCTTCCTCAACCTCACAAAATGAGTGGTTGAGCACTTGAAATGTCCTAACAGGCAAGGTTATGAGCCCAGTGGCACTCATGTAGATTTAGAGTAGTTTTCTGTCAGTGCCAGTTCCAAAGACCCCTTCTGTCCTGTGTTTCTGCAGTCAGCAATCTGACAGGATATTCTCTCGTGTAGACCGTACCCTGTATCAGCGGCCACAGGGGGGACACACAGGCTCGGTTTGTACATGGTGTGTCAGGGTGGTGTGAGTGTGCGGCTATATGAATGGGTGGTGGAGCTGACTGTAGGAAGTGAATGGCTTCCCGCAGCTCCTTCTTTGTATGTCTGAATGGCACATCCCAACAGTTGTGCCTTCAGAGCAGAATGCAAGGGTTTGGCGATATCACAGTGACTTTGGACATAATTACCTCATGTACAGTGTGACAGCTTTGCCTCAGTAGGTGTGCAATCCTAAGACTGCATACTGATGTAGAAAGACCCTGAAGTGAGAATATTGAAGGATGCCACTTGGGCCTAACAATGCAGGTCAATGTTTGTCAGCAAGCACACTGTCCTAATCACATTTACCCACTCTTACCCCACCTCACCCCTCTTCTTCCACCGATTTAAGATCGCTAAACACTCTGGATTAATTTCCTAGATACCACGGCAGAAAAATACTCAGCCACCTCATTCAAAATAATTAATGGTTGCTATCCTTCTTTAATCGCATCTATTACTTGGTTGTAAAAACAGTGGAAACGGAATGAAATGGGGCTTTTTGACTGAGCGGGGTCAGGTTCAAATGATGTAAACTTCCAGGGTTGAGGTATCAATCCCAATTGCTCCCCAGTCTAATCTGCAATGTTGCCATCGCTCCTTCCTGCCTGGTGTAGTGTGTGAAGAGTATTGTCCTATCCTATCTTACATCCTGCCTACATTCAGCATCTACTCTCACACACCAGGAGGCTTGGTGGTAATGTTAATCCTACCCTAGCAAGGGACTGAGAGTAAAGATGTTTTAATTCATTCTTCTCAACCCGTTTCCGATTTAAAAAAAAACACAAATGAAACTGAAACAAAAAGAGACGGGAGATCTGGATCAAAAGGATTCATGTCTTAAAGGCTCAGATCGAATCCTGTACCTGTCCCCGCCAACACTGACCTAAAACTAGCAACACAACCAGAGAATTCCACAGCTTTGGAGCAGGGATGTCGCTTTTGTAAAATGCACAGCCGCTCTCGCTAATTTTAGCCTTTTGCCCAGAGATAAGTGTTAACTTGGTGTCGGATACTGAAACTATTTATATCAGGACTAAAAAAAGCTTCTCATGATGAATTTACAACACAGGTTAGCACTGAGGTTATTCTGGGTGGGGGGTGGTTATAGAGGGAGGAGGTGGGGAACTCAATCTGAGTGAACCCCCCTCCTCCCTTCCCCGGTAGGGGAGGCCAGTTAACCCTTTAAAAGCTTCAGGCTCATTTTTAATTCCTTATTTTTGTTCTGCTTCCAGGAGCCTTGTCATCATCAGGAGTGTGTCTCCTGTCTGTCTAGTGGCATTGTGTGAAACTCAGCGGGACTGTTAGGAAGCTGGATGTGATTCTCAGCAGAACCAGAAAGCATGCCATCCGAACCGTGCATCCTGGTCCCACACACTCCTTGCAACAGGAATTAGCACGGGGAGCTGATTGATTCCCTCCTGACATCAGCTGTAAGAGCTGCCCTGTTCAGCTGATGCCAGCTCCGCAAGAAGCATGTCTGATTTAGGAATCTGATTTAGCTCAGTCGAGTACACTCTCAGCTAGCTCTGTGCTCGAAGTTATGGCTCTAAGCCGCATTCAAAAGACAGACGTCCACCCTCTATCTGACACAGGATGGTACCATACCTCGACAGCTCTGTCTTTAGGAGACGTTAATCTCGGGTGCCTGTCAATCTTCTCAAATAGGAAGAAAAGATCCCATGGCACTCTTTGGAAGAGACACGGGGTTTTATCCTAGACTCCTGGCCAATATTAATTCCCCCCAACCAACATTCACAAAAACAGATTACCGGGTCATTAGCACATTTCTGTTTATGAGGAGCTTGCTGTGAGCAAATTGGCTGCTGCATCTCCTGCACTAAAACAGAACACCTTCAAAAATACATCATTGGCTACAGAAAAGCTGAGGACAGGAAAGGTGCAATTTCCTTCTTGACAGTTCTCTGCATCTACCGTGTGAATGTTTGGACCAAACCAGAAATCTTTCAAATGATCAGTCAGGAGTAACAGAGGACTGGGATTTTCAGTTGGCCATTTCCATCCAGTAGCTCACCATATCACAGAGCACCCAGCCCCCTGAAATATTCCGAGATATTATTTGAGAATGCAGTCGTGTCAGCCATTCGAAAGACAACAAACTCGGAATGCCTCATTGAGTTTAGAAGGAAGAACTGGCTTTCTGTAGTTCCTTCCACAACCTCTGGATGTCCTGAATTGTCCTTCAGCCAATGCAAACAGTTACTTCTTATTCACTCTGTCAAAAGTCATAATTATTTTAAATCACTCCATTAATCTTACTCATAATCTTTTCTGCTCTAAGGAGTGCAATCCCGCCTCCTCCAGTTCTCTTCACATAATCCCAAGCATTCCTTTGCTCCCACAGAAAGCTCCCTGCAGGTAAAGTGGAACTGTGTGAATGTTTTCCGTCTCTCTCCCTTTACCGCTCCACTCTATCCTTGTGGGTGACGCAGTGTGTACCATTGACCAGAAAAAGTACCACAAATTAAAAAAACAGACACCATCAGTCAGGTAAAAGTGTCAAAAGCCCTGATAATTCAATCAACAAATGCATAACCTGATTACTTTGCTCACTAGTGCAACAAAGATATGAACTCACTGCGAATCTTAACATTGTCGACAGAGGAATCTCGTTATCAGTAAATCACTTGGTCAGTTGAAGTCCATTCCTCTGGGATTTTCTCAGTGTGTGGTTCAGTCGGGAGCACGTCTGCCTCTTAATCGAGTCACCAGCCAAATCCCCAATCAGAGCCTGGAGTGCATTCAGCAGAGCAGAGTGCTGTACTGCCAAGGTGCTGTCTTGTGTTAAACTGATAACTCCACCTGCCCTCCCTTGTAGACTCAGAGGATCCCATGACACTATTTAATGAAGCATAGCAGAGTTCTCATCTTGGTGGTACAAGATGACATCTCAATGAACGTCACTTAATAATCGACCTGGTCGTTTATCATGATGCTGTTTGTGGGATCTGGCTGTGCCACTTTTCCTGCATGACAACAATGATTACTCTTCCAGTAGCACCTAATTTCCTATGAAGCATTTATAACATCCCTGTGTCAGCGTCGGTTTCCTCCAGGTGCTCCGGTTTCCTCCCACAGTCCAAAGACGTGCAGGCTAGGGTGGAGTGGCCAGGGGAAATGCAGAGAGATAGGGTGTGGGGGGCGGGGGGGTGGGGTTGGGTCTAGCTGAGATGCTATTCGATGGTGTGGACTTGATGGGCCGAATGGCCTGCTTCCACATTGTAGGGATTCTACAATTCTATGATAGTATTCACAAAATAATGAGTTTTACCCTGAAAGCACCTCAGATGCATTTTGACCAATCCCTTAGCCTTCTAACTGATCATTGTCATCCACTTTGTTTTCTAAGTTTGAAGTTAGCTTGTCATTCACTTTGTGCCTGTCTGTTCTGAGCTGACTCTGAGTAATTTTGTCGGTTCACTTTAGCATTACTCAACAGCCAGCATTCTATATTTTGAGAGCAGTTTATGCATGTTGTTTTGGCATACTGGGGAATTGGTACCATCAACTTCCCAACAGTTCCTGCTCGGAAACTTCCACCCCCACCTCACCCCCACCCCATTACACAGTTGGTGATGGTCTTTTAATGAGCTGCTTCAATGCACATCCACAGATGTACCTTCAGCTGAAGATTGATACAGAGGTGTGCAGTGACCAGCAATTTCTAATCACACTGCATCCAACTGTCCTACCCATGGAAGAAGTCACACAGCGACTCTAAGGGCTGATCAATATCATATTCTACCATCAGCCAACGTTCACATTACTCCTGAACAGAAAGCATGGAAAAAGAAACTGGTTAGTTTCACAAACTTGCAACCTCCATCTCCTGATATAATAAAGGCATGGGAACATGTCCAACTCACAGTTCTCCTCCAAGCACCCCCCACACACACACACATACACACACACTCTCACACACACACACACACACACACACCGCATACACACACACACACTCTCACACATACACACACACCGCATACACACACACACTCTCTCACACACACACACACACTCTCTCACACACGCACACACACACCGCATACACACGCGCACACACACACTCACTTCTTTCTCAGTTGGAAATACATTGTTCTTCCTTCACTATCACTGGGTCACTTCTCATCTTCACCAAACAGACTGCAGGGGTTCAAAAAGGCATCTGGCCACCACTTTCTCAAGGGTAACTAGGGATGGGTCAGAAACCACCTGAGAACACAACTTCAAATACAGAGTCTGAGAATATTTTTCCAGATTAAAGGCACTTTATAAATGCAAATTGTTGCTAGATGAGGAAAGTGCTTTGTATCACAGAATCATACAGGGACAGAAGA